CCAAGTCAAGTCCCTTCTTCTAGACAGCCATAGTCTCTCCCATTCCATTCCCTTGTATTAAGTCATAGTTTTCTTTAGGTAATCTGAGAGGCTCTGCTAGTGACAACTATATTTCCTCACTCAGGCCTGTTACAGTTTATGGGTGGGATTCATTTTAACAAATGAAGGCAGCTGAATACTAGATTATTTATTTTAACCACAGCATTACTGTGCAAGTTCATGCTGACCTATAGGCAAGCTGAAGATCTATTCTTAAAAAATTATTAAAAAAAGAAATTCTTCCCATCTTGTAGAGATTGTAGGACCCATTATTCCCAGGCCTTCAGCTGACTCCATAGCAAATCCTTTGGTTGCCTTCATTCAGATTTGTAATTGCAGCTATTTCACCAGATAATTAAAATTATGCAGACCTGTATTCAATATATATTTCTGACCTATTTATGTCTTGCAATATAAGCAATCTATTTATTGTCCATGCAATACATAGATATAAAAATAGCTTATTTTATTGCAGGAATCACATCCATTAATCCTTAAAAAATTTTTATGGACATATATTCTAAAGTTATCTTTGTTTTGTTAATGCTTTGGTTTTCCCTCCCATTACTCATTGTAAAAGCTGGATGCCCATAGTCATTGGATAGAATTACTAGCTATTCTCCAATTTCAGGCAAAACATACTCATTATATCCATTTGTTCCTGTACCAATACCGTCCTTTACCTTACGTAATCTGTACCCTTTGCTGAATTTATAGATATCCGCCTTATCCCTTTTACACCTTTGTGTCACTAGGCTAACCAAGTCTACCGCTTCCAGTCTTTTCTCATATAATAGACTTCCAATTTCCCTCATTATTGCAGAAGGTCTTCTCTCCATCTGTCAGTTTGAATTCATCTTTCAGTATGAATGACCAGAGCACATAATTTCAGAGACAATCTCACCAGAATTTTGTATAATGGAACTAATATTGTCCTAACTCAGCTGACAAATCCTAGGACACAATTTGCATTTTTTACAGCCATAACATATTGGTGCCTCATAGGACTGAATATGATACAGCTCCTTCAATGAGCCTGAATTTCTGCCCTCAGGTTTTGTCAGTGATTTTTTCTTAGTAGTTTCCAGATTCACAACACAAAACTTTATACTGTCAAATGCCAAATTATTATGCCTCTTTGGTCCCTTAATTCACCCATTTTTTTCTCCTATGAGAATGAACAGACCATTAAAAAAAAAAAAATCAGATTAAAGTTGCTGAAGTTAACAGTTTGTCATTTAAAACTGACTCATCAGCTACCAGTTAGTGAAATGTACACATCTATACAAGTAACTTTCTACAACACAAAGAAGAATATGTTAGCTGAAATTGATATTGAAATTCAAAGTAACCAATTTTATTTTATAGAACAGAAGGGCAAATATGGTCAGAGGAAGTTTCTTCCTGCTTTCCTTGTATTTTCTTCCACAACTCAATTCTAATTACTTCTAATATTTGAATGGAATATGTGTTGAATGAATCTTCATTATCTCTAGGGTTACAATCACTTCTACCTTTAAAACATTGGAAAAAAATCAAGGTATTTCTGATTCATATGCAAGATCACTAATTTCACATGAGAGTATTACCAACCCAACTCCTGGGAAACACTATTATTTTATTTTCGTTCATCACGTTTAGTGTCAATAATTTCTGCTATCTTCTCCCCTTTAATTAGAACCTTGATAATTTTGCAGTTATACTAATTTTTATCTTTTTAATCTAATCTGTGGTTTTCCATATGGTGCTATATGAAGTGCTTTGTTGAAGTCCAGACGGATGCTTTGTATTTTATTCCTCTGATACATTGAAACACATATACCCTATGTTATATACACACATATATATGTCATCAAGTAATCAGAAAAACCTTTAATTTTACTTGAAACTCTTTATATATTTTTCAATTTTTCTTGTATTCACATTTGTCCTAGGATTTGCATACTGGAATGATCGATGTGCCTGTAGTAGGACAGATACTTTTTTATTCAGTATAAATAATATATGAAATATTTGTCACTCCTATAGCAGAAACTAATATTCTTTGTTGATTTGAATCAGGATGACATATAATCATCCCTCTGAAAACTATCTAAATACGTAATAGTAAATGTTCCCTTTACATTTCTTTCCCAAAGACAAGCCTTTTTAGAAGACCCACTGTTAAGAAAATAATGCTGATTGGCATTAATTATATTGTTATCCTGTAATCAATTTCTAATAGAGCCTGAACTTTATTATTTTGTTCAGGATGGCTGTAGACTGACATAGAAGGACAGCTAGAGTATTATCATTCCCAAGTAACATGGTGTTCAGATAAAGAAAACCAAGGTTTCTGCTTCCCGTTTCACAGCTGACTGAGTAAAGGACAATGTAGAAGTTTCACAGAACAGGCAGATTCTATACATACCAGCTACTTCTCTATCCAGGTTTGAAATTCCTGAAAGCTTCCCTATCACTTTCCACTAAGATATTAAAGTTCCCAGTAAAACAGATTAAAATAAAGGTATAGAAAAAATTTGCATATTCCCTTGAAGCCCAGAGAAACTTTTGGTGTTTCAAGATGATTCTTTCAAAAGGTACTGTGGTAACTATTTCACAGAACCTTATTAGTGCAAATATTAAATTGCTTCAAATTAAGCAGTTGTTGGATAAAAATATTCCTAGAAACATTTCCCTTTATTCTAAGACTGAGAATAGATATTTTCTAAAATATTGACAAGTCTGAGTGAAGGGATCTGGCTGGTTCAGCAGGAAGTAGCTTGACAGGAAAATTTTGAAAGATTTTGATGAGATCTAAGGGAAATTCTCTATCTAAAGCTGATGACTAGGCAAGAGCTGTGCCATAAGTATGCAAGGACTATTTTTAATAAGTAAAATATTTATGCTTTTATTTATGCTTATGTCTGTTCAAAATATACATAACTTACATATATACACATGCATACAGTTATTAAAGCAGAATCTCTTGAAAGTTGGTGTGAGAGGCTGAAATGTCCTATGACTATCTCAAAGCTTGCTTGTGTCTGTGCAAACCTCCAAGAGAAGCTTCTGCAGCCTATGAATTGGTCTGGGGGATGCTGCCCAGAGAAGCGGGAGTGTGTTGAAGGGTGCGCACCCCCACTTCTTTGGTTGCATTGTCGGGACCCTTTACATAAGCCTCAAAGGGGCAGAGGTGTGCTGAGCTGGCCCCATCCTGTAGCTGTGTGTGGCTCTATTGTGTAGGCCAGACCCCATGCATGCATTGCTGATGGACTGGTAAGAAGCAAATGTTCCTGCCCTTGAAGCTGGATGCAACAAAACCTGTTGGACCAGAGGAAAAAAACAATAACTGAAGGTGAGCAGATATGCTGATCAGCTGGTACAATGAACTTAAAAAGGCAGCAGAAAATCTTGCTCTTTGTGCATCTACCATCAAAGCCAGATCCGTGTGCACCCACCACCGAAGAATTGAAGACTGAGGACGAACGGAACGCTGCTGCATCCATGGTGGTGACTATTCTTGCAGCCTTATCCCACATCCTTGCTTTATTTCTGCCTTTTCTTTCCATTCTGTGCTATCACTACCCCTCTTCATCTTTTTTTTTTTTTTTTTTTAATAATAAAAACCTATTTTGGGTATACGGTATTTGACCTCGTTTGTGTCTTAATCTCTCTCTTGGGACCATATCGAAACCTCCCCTGACATTGAATTGGAACAGTTGGACTTTATATTACCCCCCATTTCTTGGCAGAAATAAGGCAATTGAAGACAGTGAGTCACTGAGCAAGGGTGAATAATATATTTTTCTTCATCGAAGATGTCTCAGGGAACTGTAGTTTCAATTTCAATGAACAATAGAAACTAATAACAAACAGAGATTTAACTTCGTTTAACAGAAAACAACACACTTTAAAATAATTTCTATATACTATATTTTATAAACAACCCCTTAAAATAGATGATTGAATCTCAATGAGATTAATCTACTTATTTACAAGATTATATAGGTTTTGAGCAGGAAGGCCATGGTGAGAGATAAGGGAATTTATTTTTTTATTTGTTATTTATTATGACTGATTATTTTTCAAAAAAAAAGAAATGGCTTGAGGATTCTTTTTTTTTTTTTTTTTTTTTTTTTTTTTTTTTTAATCTTTGAACTTAGTTTTCACTGACTGTTTTATTTATTTATTAGGAATGTCATACAATACTTTTATAAGTAAATGTTAAAAACACATTAGATTACTTAATATTTTGCACTCAACACTTTACACTTCTTCAGTGATAGCAGTAAACTGCGTTATAAGGTCCACAGAGAAAATGGTGTTAAAGAACATTTACCCTGAAAAGACTTGCAACATAAAAGGCACTAAGACTAAATATAGCATGATAGAGCAACAGGCTATTAAAAACTGCAGTTTGAAAAGATTGCATATGCAAGGACAACTGTGCCTCACCACTTTATTTATGACAATCATTCATAAAACCATGTGCATATTAAATCTGACTGAAATATTTCAAGGACATATTAGTTTCAATCTCAATGAACTGAGCTTAAGTGATAGTCAAAGCAGTTTGTCTAGACTTCATTTTATAAGAAAGGAAAAGAAAAAAAAAAGAAAAAAAAGAAAAAAAAAAAAGAAAAAAAGAAAGGACTATTTTCTATTAGTTTGTTCAATTTGCTGTATCACATAGTGTCCTGATCCAATATCGGGGTTCTTAAATGATCCAAAGAATGAGATTAAGACATAAACGAGGTCAAATGCTGTACAACCTTATGAACTTTATTTTACACACAACTGGTAATAGCAATAGGACAGAGAGAAAAAGGAAAGGAAAAGTCAGAATCCCCAAGCAAGAAAAATGGTAGAGATGCAGCAAGATTAATTACCACCACCACGAATCCAGCAAGGTACTGTTGGCTCAATCCTGGTGCAGGTGATGGTGCTCCAAGCTCCAAGAGTGATGGCAAGAGTGAGAGGAGAGAGAGATCCCGAGAAAGGAGTACGCAGTACTTTTATTATCCCAGATTTCTCCAAAAAGTCTGTCCATTTCCACAGGGCTCATTGTCTCATGGTCCTCCATGTGTGGTTGTCCAGGCATTCACGGTGGTCGTGCCGGCCTGCACATCTTCTTCACCCCAATTTAACTTCAGGCGGATGTCGCAGTTTTGTCTGGGACCGTTCCTTTTCTCCAGAGGTACTTCTCCATGTCCATGGGACACTGAGGCCAGGAAGTTGTGGTGGTGCAACAGCAATGCTGGAGTCATACACTCCAACACAGTCCCTTACACACAGTATACAGTGAGTATCTAGAATAACAACAGTAACAGAATCTTTTACATTGCATCAAGATCTATGAAAGACCTAACCTGTTACATACACTGATAATAGGAAAATTGTACCAAATCTAAAAAGATTCAGATTAATGTGTAAGATAATTCTTTGTGACTTTGTCAGAACAAGTGATACGACAAGAGGTAATGGCCTCAAGTTCTGCCAGGGAAGGTTTAGACTAGCTATTAGGAAGCATTTCTTTACAGAAGGGGTTGTTAGGCCTTGGAATGGGCTGCCCAGGGAGGTGGTGGAGTCCCCATCCCTGGAGGTGTTTAAGAGTCAGGTTGACATAGCGCTGAGGGATCTGGTGTAGTTGGGAACTGTCAGTGTTAGGTTAATGGTTGGACTGGATGATCTTCAATGTCTTTTCCAACCTAGATGATTCTGTGAATATGTAAACAGACTAAAGAGATGAAAGCATCTTATAAATGAACTCTATATTTTCCCTGTGAATAAAATTCTAAATATAAAAATGTTTTTACAAATATATATATATATATAATAGCTATTTTTACAATAATTTATATAGATGGATTTTATATGTAGACTAGGGACATGATATTAGAAGAGGTATGACATAATAATGACAAAAAATATGCAAAAATAAATTTGCTGTTGTTAATTCTTTGTCAAATCTTATGAGTAGTAACATAAATTGCATTTATGATGCTTCTGAATAATCATAAATTCTTACATATATCATAAAACATGTGAAAATATGGAAATATATGGAAATATAACTGCACTGGCATACAGAGACCAGTACAGTTATCTGTACCCATGAATTACAGGTAATTCATTCTGAAAAATGGGCATCTAATATGTTTCCTTAAGAGGCAAATTTAATTGCATCCCATTCTATCTGGTCTAGAAATTGCTTTCAGGTTTTTTGTGATATAAAAAAATTATGCAGATTTGTTCATTTTTCACTTCTTGATAAGCAATTGGAAATGTCCTTTGTCTTAGTCCTACACCTTACCATCTGTTATTTGTCTTACATAAAAACCATCACATTAAGGTAATTAAATATTTTAGTTTTATATAAGCACATGTCCTGACATTATCTGGGATAGAGTTAATTTTCTCCTGAGCTGTGAGGGGGCACAGCCAGAGTGCTGCACCTGGATTGGCCAATGGAGTATTCTATATCATGTGACAATATGCTGAGTATATAAAGGAGGCTGTTCGCTCTCTCTTCCAAGTTTTTTCAATGGTAGGATCTTCATTCTTTGGTGATTGCTTACTGGGAGTGGGCTGGGTATCAGTAGGCCAGTGTTGGGATTCTAGAGGACTTTCTGTGAGAGAATGGCCATGTGAGCAATCTTGCATGAGAACAAGACTGATAAGAGCCTCAGTCTGAGCAAGAATGCGATAAGGATGTGACCCTGAATGAGGGGGAGAAACTCGAGGAGACAAACAACCCCCAGAAGGGGTTGGGACGAAAGAGGAAGTTCCACAAGGCAGGAAGCCTGGCAAGGCTGATGTGGCACTTCTTATCCAATCATAAGAAGGTTTAAAGCGCGGTCTAAGTTAACTGTCCAGTCTTGAGGACTTGTACTGCATGTTACTCACGTGTGCGGGAGAACATTATAAAAAGACTTTCTTAGTTGAAATAAACGGGCATTGCTTGATGACATTGGTCGTGTGCGTGCTCTCCCACAGGCAGATGGTGAGAAATGGCATTGTGCATTACCGGTGTGTATTTTCAGTTATTATTATTATTATTATTGTTTTGTTTTATTACAGTCATAAAACTGTTTTGATTTGATTTTTTTTTTTTTTTTTTTTTTTAATCTCAATCTATGAGTTTCCTTGTGTCTCGCCAGTGTCTTCCCCCATTAACTGGGCAGGGAGGAGAATGAGTGACTGGCTGCATGATGTTTGGCTGCTAGTTGAGTTCAAACCATGGCAGTCCTTTTTGGTGCCCAATGTGGGGCTCAAAGGGTTGATATAATGACAATTATAATGACAGTGTGTCATAACGTATTTGTTATAAACATTCATTATATTGGTTTACCAGTTGCTTGTGATAATGTCAATTGCTTGGCTCCTTAAATTTTAATCATATCATTTGCTGTATATAGTCCTCATGCTATTGCTTCCCACCTGTGAGAGTTGGATTAAGATTTTTGTTTTGCTGTATTATGTAACACTGATTTATGGCACAATGAAGTCATCAGTCCTGAGGCTACTTACAATTATGTTTGAGAATTTGAGTAATTTTGAAAAATCCTTGGAATGCTGACACTAACATGGTCCTCTTACTGCTAGGATCTAGTGTGTCCTTGCAGGTGGTTCAGGCTTTATTCAGGGTTAAACAACTATTTAAGAGTATCACCCAGAGATCTACACCAAGGTTGGAGAATTATGAGTGGCTGGGGGTGTGGGATAGCATGGGCAAGTACCTAGAACAGTGGGCACCTCCAGTGTATTGGAACTTCACTCCTGAACAGGTGTAGAATCCTGAAAAGCTAGTAAAATATTTGGAAAAAGTATGCGTTGCCCTGGAAATTCCAGAGAGACACAGATCACTGCAACATGCTGGGGCCTATCCCACACCTACCGAGAGCTATTAAACACTGTTCTCTTCAAAGGGAAGAGAAGGTCTCTGGACCTGATAACAAAAATGTCAGACACTGCAGCCACTCCAAAGTCAACAACAGACACTGCAGCCACTCCAACCCCCATGACAAGAGCTGCAGTCACTCCAACTCTGGCAACAGGTGTTGCAGCTAATCCAACCTCAATGGCAGTCACTGCAGCTGAACCAGAGAACCAACTCATGACGGTGTTCAGTTCCTCCTATATGTAAGAAGAAATATACAGAAAAAATCACCTGACTTTGTAAAGGATGATGATGAACCAGAGCCATCATGAGAACACAAGGAGGAGGCAGAACAGTGGTAATCACTGGATCCTTATCCCTGAGTTAGCGATAAGACGTGAAAGGATTTAAGATGCCATCCAAGTGAGCACATCATTACCTGGCTGCTCCAATGCTGAGATAGAGGGGCCAGTAATGTGAAATTAGAGGGTAGAGAGATCAGGCAGCTGGGATCCCTGTCTAGGAGAGGGGGGAACTGACAAGACAGTTGGGAAAAGGACACAAAATCTCAGTGTCTGGAGGTGACTCCTGTCAAACGTGAGGGCCAGGTATCCCTTCAAGGAAGATGTTATGTGCCATCCAAGTAACTGGACCACTATGGAAAGAGGTATTCAGTACTTGAGAGAGTTAGCTGTGCAGGAGATGGTGTATTGCGACCCAGAAAATGTGCAGCTACCCACTATCCAGATGAAGTCCAATGTACCTGGCCCATGTGGAGGAAGTTTGTATGGAGCACACCATCATCATATGCCAATGAATTAGCAGTAATGGACTGGAGAGACAAAGAGTGGATGAATTGTCTCACTGACTCCGGCAATGTGAAGAAAGACTCTCTTTCTTCCTTGTCACAGCTGCAGAAAAACTATTCTGATAATTCCAGCAATTCAAAGAGCATATGCCCTACTCTCCATCTGCATGAACTAGGATCTCAGCTATTAGAAACAAGCATTTCCCTACTCAAGAGAAATGGTATACACCATGGGGGAAACTGTGGTATGGCCTGTGTGACCATGGAGAAGACATGAGGAAATGGGATGGAAAACCTACCTATCTCCTAAAAGAGTGGGTATGTGAGTTGGAAGGAAGAACAACTACGAAACAGGGTTCTTTTAGGAGAAATGCTGCTCCAGTTTCTAGTAATCAGTCTCCTAAACAGAGCAGAAAGGCTGACTTTGCTCCCAATTCTGTAAGAACTTCTGATTTGTATTCATGAGAAGGGAGTGACCAAGATGAGGCCGAAACCCGTGCACACCACACTAACCCATTTGTCATTAGCGGGTATTATGACCAACATTAGAGGGCCCCTGCCTCCAGCCAGGCAGAGGACAGGGACAATCAAGTTCATTGACCAATGTGGATTCTATGGCCTGGCACATCTCACCCCCAGTAGTGTAAGGCTCTAGTGGACACTGGTGTGCAATGCACACTAATGCCATAAAATTTTAAAGGGGTAGAACCCATTTTTATTTCAGGAGTGACAGGGTGTGGGAGAACAATGGACTTGCACAACTCTCATAGAGTTATCAAGGAAAACCATTTAATAATCTCACCCAAACCGTTTATATACTTTTCATGCCTTATCACGCTCCTAAAGATTACATTCCATTGGTTAAATGCTACTGTTAATGAGCAGTAACTTCTCACAGTTCAGTACTTTTCCACAGTTCAGTGTTGCAGCTGTCCATTGTTTTTCCCTGCCACCTTGGCACAACTCGGCAGTTTCTCATCTTTCTCCCAAAGTCTGTTTCTCATCAAAGACTTGCTGCTTCTGCACTTGCTGTGCAGGGCTGACAGGCCAATGTTGACTTGCCTCTCTCCCACAGCAGGGGATCTCAACAGCTGATTGTATTGGAAGCTGAGGTGAGCCTAACTGGAATGAGTGGGAAAAGCAACCCATTGTAACTGGCCCAGAGGCTCTCTGCATTCATGGTGTTGATTATCTCAGGAGAGAGTATTTTAAGAACCCAAAAGGGTATTGGCAGGCTTTCAGTATAGATGCCTTGGAGACAGAGGAAATTAAACAGCTGTCTGCATTGCCCGGTGTCTCAGAGGACCCTTCTGTTGTGGGATTGCTAAGTGTCAAAGAACAGGTGCCAGTCGCTACTACAAAAGGGCACTGACGGCAATATCGCATCAAGCAAGA